ATTTTTATTTATGTGTATGCATGTATTGCCTGCATGTAGGTAAGTGCACTCGTGTTGAGCAATGCCTGTGGAGGTCAGAAGAAGCTGTCAGATCCCCTGGGACTGGAGTTTTGGACAGTTGTTAGCTGCCATGTGGGTGCTGGGTTCAAACCCGGGTCTTCTACAAGCACAACCAGTGTTCTTTTTTTTTTTTTTTTGGTGTTTTTGAGACAGGGTCTCCCTGTAGTCCCAGCTGTCTTGGAACTATGTAGATGAGACCAGGCTGGCCTGGAACTCACAGAGATCCGCCTGCCTCTCCCTCCCAAGTGTTGGGATTAAAAGCATGTGCCACCACGCCCGGCTACAACCAGCATTCTTAACTGCTGAGCCATCTCTCCAGCCCCCTATTTTTATTTTTTTATGTGTATAAATATATTGCCTGCTGTTAAATGCTCTACCCCTGAGCTATAACTATTCATTAGAAGATAACAGAAGGCATTGTATTATATTTTGCCAAATTAAAGCCTTATTTATGTTTTCACCCTTTCTATTTTGTTGGACACTGAACAGAGTTTTGTCTTTTCTAATCCTTGTTAGACTACTGTTTTTTAATAATTTGTTTATTATTTTTATTTTATGTGTATGCATGTATTGCCGGTGCTGGGATTCGAACCCAGGTCTTCTGCAAGAACAACCAATGTTCTTAACCGCTGAGCCATCTCTCCAGCCCCTAGACTACATTTATTTATTTATTTATTTATTTATTTATTTATTTATTTATTTATTTTTACTTTCATCTGCATTTATTTTGTGCTCAGTTTATTCCCGTGCCGTAAATTTTTGTTTCTTCAGTTTCTTCTGGGATATCTTTTTCTTTTGGGCAACTTCCTCTTCAGGCTTAGGAACAATTTGTTCCTTTTCAGTGAGGAACATTTTAATATGGCAGGGGGAGCTCATGTATAGGTTAATGTGACCATGAGCTCTGTAAGTTCTGCGGTGCATCTTGGGCAATTTGTTCACCTGGATGCTCAATGACCAGAGAGTCTACATCCAAACCCTTAAGTTCAGCATTACTTTCCAAATTTTTAAGCATGTGTAGTGAAAATTCAGCACTCTTTCTGGGCCACCGACCTTGTGTCCAGCCCCAGGGTTTGGCCTGGGCACACTTACCAACTCCACTGTTATAATGCCAGAATGGCACACACTGCTTCTTTAAAGTGACATTTTTCAGATACTTGGTGGCTTTTCGGATATGCATACCCTTGATGGCCTGGGCAATTTCACGTGTGCTCTTAAAGTGAACATGAAGATTGGAACCTCTTAATTTGCATGATTTTGTAGGGTTTTCTGGGTGAAGATAGTAGCAAACCATTTTCACAGGTCACCTCGGGCCCCTTAGAGGAAGAGGAAGCCCAAAGGATCCTGGGAGAACTCATGAGAACTTGACCTCTCTAGACTACTGATTTAAAGAGAAAAATAAAAAATTTTTAAAAAGCCAACTCTGTAGACACCTCCAGAGTTTAGTTTTTTTTTTTTTTTCTTTTCCGGAGCTGAGGACAGAACCCAGGGCCTTGCGCTTGCTAGGCAATCACTCTACCACTGAGCTAAATCCCCAACCTCCAGAGTTTAGTTTTATAATAAAACTGTTTGACTAATTAGACCTTTCCATTCCTAAAGATAAAATAAATGTAATCCTTTACCTTATTTTGGTCAGTTAATTGTTCTCCCAGAAGATCAAAGTGGTAAAAACAACATGAAATTTAACATTTTGGGGGGGGTTCTTTTTGAGACAGGGTCTCCCTGTAGCCCCAGCTGTCCTGGAACTCACTATGTAGACCAGGCTGGCCTTGAACTCACAGAGATTGGCCTGCCTCTGCCTCCCAAGTACTGGGATTAAAGGCATGTGCCACCACGCCCAGCTGAAATTTAACATTTTAATACTGATGTTGTACACTGTTTTACTTAACATTTTGGAAAGTTACTGCCTCAGAAAACACTGTTTTTGTTTCTAATTTAATTGGTTTTTGTAATGGCAGTCAGCAAATAAAGAGATGCTTATTCAAACATGAAAATATATATATATATATATTGCCTGCTTGTATATAGGTGCACCTTGTTGTGTAATGCCTGCAGAGGGCAGAAGAGGGCATCAAATTCCCCTGGAACTGGAATTATGTATGGTTGTTAGCCACTATGTGGGTGCTAGGAACTGAATCTGGGTCCTTTGAAAGAGCAGCCAGTGCTCTTAACCACTGAGCCATCTCTCCAGCCCCAAGATTAAACATTTTATATAATTTTTATATTTCAATTAAAAATGCTAGCCAAGTGTGGTGGTGCAGACCTTTAATCCCAGCACTCGAGAGACAAAGGCAGGCAGATATCTGTGAGATGGAGGCCATTCTGGTCTACATAGCATGTTACAGGCCCGCTGGGGCTACAAGGAGACCCTGTATAGAAAAAATAAAAATAAAAAAAACAAAAAACAGCAACAAAAAAACTGCTACTTAAGCTGGGTCTGGCAATGTATACTTTGAGGATCATGAATTTGAAGCCAACCTGAGCTACACACAAGATCCTGTCTCAGAAAAGCACAAAAATCAAACAACAAAAATAAACCTTTCAAGTTTTTTCTTCATGGTCATTGTTTTTCAGTTTTATGTACAAGGCAGTATTTAAAGCTAATCTTCTGTCTCTTTTTCTCCTTCAGTTGATTTTATCACACAGAGCAAGGGGTGGACTGAAAGTTAGCATACTCTCCTGTAAGCTTGCAGATCCTACTGAAGCATGTAGGAATCTGTCTGGACAAAGACACTTTTAAAAATAAGCTTTGTTCTAAATTCTGGAAAAAGTGTAGGGATGTCACTTTTAAATGGAATGTTATATATAAGATTGTATTTTGCCTAAATGTAGTACAAATGTTTCCTAGACAATCACTTTGTTTGCTTCACTAGAAATAGTCTTGTAAAACCATTTCTACTAGGTTTGCCCTGTCTTCACACAAGCTGGAAAATGTTTACTTATGTGTATTAATAAACAAGTTTAATCTTCCTCACAGATGTGAAAATTTATTTTCTTTAACTCTGGAAAAGGTTAGGATCTCTCACAATATCTTTCCTGGAGTGTAGTGGCAATTGTCACCTGACAGGACACTGTGAAAGGCTCATGATGTTGGGGGCACAGCAGTCATGGGCAAGCCTGTTTAGCAGCTCACCCTAGTCTTTGGTGATGACACACTGGAGTTACCTGGCTTGCTGACTCAGGGTTGGCATTTATGAGCCTGAATCAGCTGGAAGGAAGGAGACCAACTTCAAAAGCTTACAAGAGTGGTGTCAGAGTCCCAGGAACTTTGAAGAGGGAATCTACTCAGGACATTAGGACAACAGCTGCTTTTCATCCTAAACTGCACATGGATTTGTGCTGCTTCCCTCAAACACTAGCCCCTCTGTGGGGCCAGCACTGATCTGAAGAACTGGGTGGCTCTTCCAACTGCAAATCCAACCCATCATCCTGCATTGGAGTGAATAAAAAGAAAAAGTGAGTATAAACTCTTTTGCCAAGTGTAGAGGGGCGTACCTTACATCCCAGGAGAGGAAGGCAAATCTCTGGGTTGAAAGCCATTCTGGTCTACATAGTGAGTTGCAGGCCATCCAGGACTACATAGTGAGACACTGTCTTAAAATACAAAAATTGCCGGGCGTGGTGGCACACGCCTTTAATCCCAGCACTGGGGAGGCAGAGGCAGGTGGATCTCTGTGAGTTCAAGGCCAGCCTGGTCCACATAGTGAGTTCCAGGACAGCTGGAGCTACAGGAAGACCAAAAAAACAAACAAAAACTCTTATGAAGCTGGTGTTGGGAGGTACACTTGCCTTGTCTAATGTTTTCTATGGTTTTTACTATATGCAGTCATAGAGGAGGTTTGCCTGGTGATCCTGGTGTGTCCAAAATGAGGTGATAAATGAGGCAGTGAAGGACTTGATCTAGATGAACAAGATGGGCCTGATGAACTTCTCATTCTCTTTGAGGAAGGAGACATGGATCTTTTAAGCAGGCATAGTCAGCAAGGTGACAAGGAAGGACAGATGAAGAGGTGGAGCAGTCTGGTTGGGGAGAGAGAACTGAGGTGCCAAAGCAGGATTCATACCCACTATTGCCTAAAGTGAGAGTGGGTATGGGCCTGTTAGCTTTCTGTTTTGTGACTAAATTTCAAAGGAAATACACTTAAAGGAGGAGAGGTTTATTTTGGCTCATGATTTCAGATGTTTTCCCTTGGCTTTGGCTTAAAGCTGAACATAATTGGAGGCGTGTGGTAGAAAAAAGCTACCTGCCTCATGGAGGCTGGGAAACAAGATTCCCAAGAACGTACCCCAAGGATCCCTTCCTTTCCATTGGGTCCCACCTTATATGTCTCCCCTCTCCCCTCTCCTCCCCTCCCCCCTCCTCCCCTCCCCCCTCTCCCCCCACTCTGTTTTCTTCCAAAAAGATTTTCCTACTATGTGGCAGGCTGACCTTGAACTTTTTTTGAGGTAGGGTCTCATTATGTATCCCTGGCTGGCCTGGAACTGGCTCTATAGATCAGGCTGGCTTCTGCCTCCCATTGCTAGGATTAAAGGCATGCACCACCACACCCAGCTGGTCTTGTACATATACGCCTCCTGTTTCAGTCTCCTAAACTCTGAGATTATAGGGTTATCCTTGAATTTATTATATACCTGAGGATGCCTTGAACTGCTGATGCCCCTGTTTCTACTTCCTAGGTACTAGGATTACAAGGGTACATCACCATGCCTTGCCATGTCCTCAGTTTCTTACACCATCTAACAGCCCATCAAATTATGAACCCATCAATGGCCTAATCCATCGACTAGGTCAGAGCCCTGTTGATCCTTTCACTTCCTAGAAGTCCATTATAGAGGCAACCAAGCTTTTAGCACATAACCTTTGGGGGAATATTTTAGATCTAAACCACATTGGTGCTCCTCCTAGGCATGTTAGGGACTGGGCTACGGCCCAGTCTTCATCTACAGCATCAGATCTGTAGGCACCAGGCCTGGCTCTTGTACCAAGGACCTCACCTGCACTGCCTGTCTCACCACTGGTTTCCACTACATAATAAGAGGCATTCTCCTGGCAGGGTACCCTGGCAGCGCTGTTCTCAGTCACAGTTGAGTTCCAGCATGGCCAGCAAAGGGCTCTAAATTACCTCCTCATAGTCAAGGTGACCTTATCTCTCAGTCTTCGTGTTTAACTGCCACCCTGGTTCAGGCCTTTGCTGTTGGTGTAGGAAGCTGTAGGGTGAGATGACAAGCCAAGCCAAATAATTATGTTGCAGAGTTTAACTCATAAATTTTATGAGATGAAAGTTACAAATTATAACTATAGCCATATATTATATATTACACTATAATATACTTTACACTTATTTTATTTTGGGACTACTTTATAATAAACATTTTCTTTTTTTATTTTTAATTATTTTGTGTGTATGAATGTTTTGTCTGCATGTAAATGTACCCACGCCACACAATGCCTTCAGAGGCCAGAAAAAGGCGTCATAATTGGAGTTATGTGGATGGTTGTTAGCTGCTATGTGGGTTCTGGGAACTGACCCAGGTCCTCTGCTTTTAAGTGCTTAGCCATCTCTCAAGCCCCAATAAACATTTTCTTATATCACTAATATTATCAATATTCTATATTTTAATAGCTATATTTCATCATATGAGTTTAGGACAGTGAGTATAATCAATCCAATACTGTTGCACACTTAGGATGTTTTCTGGTTTTTGCTGTTATAAACAATAATGAAAAATTTTCCATGTTCTTCGTTTGTTTTTGTCTTTTTAATATTTTATTTTTATTTTATGTGTCTGAGTGTATGTGTGTAAGTGCACCCATGTCATGCAGTGCCTTTGGAGGTCAGGAGAGGGTGTTGGATCTCCTGGAACTGGAGTTATGGACGTTGTTAGCCGCTGTTAGGGTGCTGGGACTCTAACCTGGGTCCTTTGCAAGAGCAGTCAGTGTTCTTAACCACTGAGCCATCTCTCCAGCCCAATTGTTTTTTTTTGTTTTTTTGTTTTTTTTTTTTGATAAGGTCTCACTGTGTAGCCCTGGCTGGCCTGGGACTTGCTATGTAGACCAAACTGACCTTGATCTACCTGATTCTGCCTCCCAAGTACTAGGATTGAAGGCCTGTGCCACCATGCCCACCTGCTTGTCTGTGTTTTTAATCGTTGCCTTGAGATAAATTTCTAGACATTACATTGTTACTATATATGTCCTTATATGTGTATTTATTGTATTGCAGCACAAACTGGTCTCAAACTCACTATGTACCTTAGATTGGTTGACTTTGAACTCCCAATTCTCCTGCCTCTACTTCCCATGTAGTAGGATTATGGGTATGTGCCACCATGCCAAATTCATAAACTGCTATAATATTAATGGCTAACATTATTAAATCCTTTTTATGTGACTTATAAATAGCATTTTTCTATTATCTGATATATATATATATATATTATTTTGCCCATTTTCACAGATGGGACATGAAGGCCCAGCTAGAGATAGAAACAGAAGTGGACAGATTCTGTAGCTGCAGGTTCAAGCCCAATCAACCCAGGCTTCCTGCTCCAAGCTTCTCCTTTTGTGGTTCCTAACAATTCCAAATTCTCATAGCAACTGGGAAAATTCAGGTTAATTTATTTAAAGTGTTTAGCTCATGCACTTAGCCCATGATCAGTAAATACCAATTATTGTAAACTTTGAGGCTTATTACTTACTGGTCCTCATTTTAGTAGTATTTTTTGTTGCATGAATTCTGTAGTTTTGAATTTTTCCTAGTGTACCATTAATCTTCCACTTTCCCTTTAAAGCCGATGAAGATTTTAATGTATTTGATTAAGTGTGTTGAAAGGAAATATAAAACCGATCTGACAATAGGGATGCTACAGTATCGTTTGTACAGATAAAGCAGATAACTATTAAAGGTACATAAATTAATAGCCTAGCCAAGGTATTTATCCTTGGCTAGAGTGTGTGGGGTTGGGAGAAGCATTCTGAAATTTTGTTTTGTGACATTCTTCCTGAGGAGATGTAAACAAACATCTACTTACCCCAAATAGTGATACTTTTTTTAAGTGCTGGGAATTGAACCTATGGTTCTCTCCATTATAGTGATAGGCGAGTGTTCTACCACTGTGCTACATTCCCAGCCTTTTTTTTTGGGAGGGGGGGTGCAGGGTTTCATGTAGTCCAGGCTGACCTTGAACTTGTTATGTAGTGAAGAATGACCATGAACTCCTGAGATTATAGGCATGCCCAGTTTATGTGGTGTTGGGGACTGGACTTTTTTTTTACTTTGTATTTTGAGACAAGATCTCATTAAATTACATAGCCTTATACTGACTCTGACTCTGTAGTACAGATAGGCCTTGAACTTGTTATATTCCTGCCTCAGTTTCAGTTTTTTTGTTTTTGTTTTTGTTTTTGGTCTTTTTGAGACAGGGTCCCCCTGCAGCCCCAGCTGGCCTGGAACTCACTATGTAGACCAGGCAGGCCTTGAACTCACAGAGATCTCCTGCCTCTGCCTCCCAAGTGCTGGGACTACAGGTGTGCACCACCATGCCCAGCATCCTGCCTCAGTTTCAGGAGTAGTTGGAATTACAGGCCAGTGGTACTGGGCCTGGCCTAATGCTCATTTTGTATAGATGTCCAGTGGGAGGGGACATGTATTTCCTGCCTCTGCCTCCTAAGTGCTGAGATTAAAGATGTGCACTACCACACCAGGCTCATATATAT